ACCGCCACTTCAAAAACAAGCTTTGGACTATAAGTGTTTAGTCCAATTCATTGAGGGATTCAATTAAATGTACGAGCCAGTACTTTTACAGTAATCGTAAGTGTTTGATTATAATGTCCAGGGTTTCCTGGACATTGCTGGACACAACCCGTGAGAGCGGGGGTGGGGGTGGGGTGGTTGCACACGTTCCGCTGCTGTTTCTCACCAGTATCAGCTGATGGAGGGCTCTAGTTTCGTTGTGCCGTTCGTGTCGGCGAACACGGTAGGGTCGGGGAGGGGGGAGGGGCATGACGCTTAGCCTGGCGGGTGGCTGAGCAAAGCCTGGCGGGCCTCTACGTTTATAAAGCGCTGGGGGAAACCCTGAATGTCTTTATTTAAAATCCATAGACGCCACTCATGATTACACTTGGTAGTAAAGCATGTCTCCATAGAGACAATCACGGTGGACAGGAAACAGGATGCACAATGACAGGTGTTTTTGACAAGAACCACCAATAATTAAAAATCACTGCTCTCACCTAAACCTACAATACTCGCTTAAGGGTCAATTACTAGGTCATCTGTTTCAGTCAGCGAGCTCTCTGTGTACATGGAAGCGCTCATGGGTTGTTGCTGGTTTGAAATTCAAATATCTCTGTCCACATTTGGAGCCACCTTGACCGAGCAGTTTGTATGCAAATGTCTCCCGGGTCACATCGAAAGACCTTTCCACCCGAGTGACCTGAATCCAACCAGCGACAAACACCGCATCTGCCAGAAGGATGAACTGGGTCAGGTCATTCACTTTGCACTGAGACACCGACCATTTGCAAATGCAAAATTAAAAGTCCTCTAAGACGAAAGGCTGGGTGTTCAAGGTGCATGGTTGCTGTTCGAGGTGTCGTGATTCACAGACGTATTAACAGGCTGAGAGGATGTCGCTGGGTTAGATCTGAGCAGGACTCTAGCATTATTGTTTTTAAAAGATGCAACTACAAGATCAACGGATGGGTTAGGGTTAGGACAGAGTTGAGTGAAGGAAGCTAAAAACATACAATCACAGTTTATTTTGAAATTCTGGGCACAAAACTGCCAACAAAACAAAAAAAAAAACTACAACCTCTTGATAATTTGCCAACCCCCTCAGCAGGTTACAGAAGTACAAAAACAAAAGAGTAACATAAAGTTAGACACAGCAGCTCTAGTCAAACACACACACACACACACACTCCGCCTCCAACCCCCTGATGTCTGTTGGCAGATTCGTCTCAGGAGCCTAATTGGTACTTTCTTATTTTTCTCCCTTTCTCTCTCTCTAACTCTGTCACCCGCTCATTCAGCTGTGCATGTGTTCATATGTCTGTTGCAGAGGATAAAAAACATGAGTGTGTGTGTGTGCGTGTGTGTTTGAGGCAGGAGGATAAGAGCGTGGGTGCCTCTAAATGAAACAGAGGCTGAAGCAACTGCACACTCTGTGGCTATGTGATAGGGCGAGCCAACTCGGTGAGCCAAACCTTGGAACGAGACACTGAGCCAGGCGCACGCCACTCACACACACACACCAGCACAGATGAACGGCAGAGACACACACACACATGCACAAAAGTTGTCCCGATGCCCAGGCAGCCCTCCTGCTGCCAATAACGAGGAGGTTTGGAGATGTGCATTTGTTTGTGCGATCCAAAAGACACACTTTAATAGCAAACTCCACGGCTCACACACTGCCAATCACACACCAGTTTCAGTTGTGTTTGCTTGCCGTGTCATCTCGTTTTGTTACACTCTGACACACTCATCTACACATCACACCTGCTGACATAAGGCACAAACATAGCATAAGACTCTCGTCTACTAAGCTATTATGCTTTCTGTGACATTTTTGGAGGTAATCCTGCTTTTCCTGACGTTTGGCACAGCGGCTGCTAACGCTACATGCCGCTGCACAAGCAGGCTGCCTCTCGATGCGAGATGCGATCCTTCAGCTGCGGCTGCTTGTTGGAGCAGTGATTTGATTAGGTCTGCGCTGATTACAGTCTCGTTGGTTACAATATACAGTTCTATCGGTGGGGAGCGGGAGTGATTGAGAGCGGGAACGTCAGTTTGTCAAGCTGTCAAGAGCAATGCTACACGGTGCTTCTGAGGTGCTCGTGTGTGTAGGCGAGCGCTCAGAATGAATCAGTTTATATCAAAGAGCACCAGTGAGGATATTAATACAAATCTTTTAGCAGCTATAAGCACTCAGGAGGGCGATACGATGCCGTGTGAGAACAATTTCTTTTTGAATTAGATGGTGGCAAAAGGAAAAGGAGGAACAGCTCCCGTTTCTCACACACACACACACACACACACACACACACACACACACACACACACACACACACAACCCAAGCTGCAGACTTGGTGTGTGATACTGGCCTAGAACTAATAATCTGAAAAGCCTCAAATGCTCTTTGCCCTTGTGAGCTTTATGAAATATGAAACAAATTAATCTGTCGTCATTTTCTCTGAGAACACATCACGCAGTAACCCAACCCCTGAGAGTAATTCAAAGAAAAGCAGCAAACCAGGTGTAATTATTCTTTTTCTTGCATTAATTAGATGATTGAACATTGTTATGATTCAGTGAGCGAGCCACAGCTCCACAGGCCTGTTTCACTGAGCGACGCCAACAGGACAGGGCTCGGCAGCATCCAGCCCGACGGCAGCAAAGATTTCAGCTGCATCCACTAAAAGTGTCTCTGATGGGTTTTGTTTTAGGGTGAAACAAAAGGGCCAAAAACACACAAAGAACTTCCCTGTAAACACACGATCGGAGAAAGACGGCCACAAAGTCAAACGGAGAATCATCTGAGGGGATTTTATAGATTGCAGATTTAAGAGGGAGGAAAAAGAGAGATCAGAATTAATCCTCTTTACTGTTTGTTTGGTAATCTGACTTTTCAGCTGCCATCTCTGGTTGTGGTTACTGATGCCGCCTCTGGACTGACCACAGCGGTTTCCACCTTCAGCACCCCCTCCCCTTTACGCCGGTGTTTAGGAATGACAAACACACTAAACAGAAATATATGTAAATCCCTAAAGCAGCGACGTGTCTGCCCGCTCCCCGCTCTGACATCGCTCAAGAGAGGCACACCACGGCTGTCCCTGCTCCAAATAAGTGACCTACTTTTCACATTAACACACACTTACATGACAGCAAGAACCAAAGAAGCTTCGTGTTTAGCGCTGCGAGCCCTGACACCTCGCGCTTTCAGTGCAATATTACTCTTGTTCAGTTCTTAGAAACTGCGGCGTTTTAGAGCTCTCCTGTCGTGTTTGAGGAGATCACACAGACAGCAGAGCTGACTAGTGAGATGTTTAACCACGACGAAAAAAAAATGTGTGCATAATGCAAGTAGAACTGTACTTTAGTCGTGGAAGTGTGTTAAAGGAAGGTGAGGCTGACACAGAGGCCCACCTAAGGTGCTCTCAGCTCAGGCAGAGCTATTTCCAGACCGTCAGCCCCTCCCACCTCCCGTCCCTCCACCTCTGGTGGGGAAACCACACCACTGCACAGGCTCCAGTCACAGACACGACTCTAGAATGGATCCATTATTCACACACACACACACACATATACACACACAGGGGACTGGTACACAAGGGTGGGATATGGTAGTGGCACACGAATGCTCACTTTTACTTAACTTCACTTAGAACTGCTGGAGCAGGCGAGCCACGTAATGAGACTCGAGTATATTTGAGAGAGCAGCGCTCAGCTTTCGGCATGAATAAGCTGTGATCTGAACGTGTGACGTAACTCTGAACAAGTCCTAGAAGGAAAGATGATTTATTTTTTGCATCAGTGTGCATGCTTAATGCTGCACCTGAATGATGTGCAGACTGTGGACAAACTCGCCAAACGTAATAACCGACACACACCTACAGACACACGCTCTATCTCAAGTTTTGGGAGAATGCCTGACAGCACAACGCAACTCCATGAAACTTGACATGGATGAATATGTAAGTGGTCTCACTGCCTGTCTCACACAGCGACACACACGCGTGCACAAAGAGGCCAGATTGCATTTGAGTTTGCTCATGGACCATGATAAGAAAATGTGGTAAATGCATAATCTGCTATGCATGACTTGAGGTTTCTCTCTGCCTTTCTTTTCCTCTTGGAAATCGCAGGTTGCATCCATTATTTACACCAGCCTCCGTCTGTTTCTCTCGTTTCCACTCAGCTCCCTCCCTGTTTTTTTTTTCTCTCTTCCTTCTCCATCTCCCCTTCTCTCTTCTGGCAATCTGGATTTTGCAGCTTTGCTCATTAGCATATTGCTAAATGTGCAGATGCCACCAAAAATTATTCACCTTCCGGCACTTTGACACTGCTTTTGCATGTACACAAACTACAAGCCACCATGTTTTCTACAGCATCCCAGACAAAAGATGAAGGAGAAGATCGTCTGCTTCTTTAACACATCGGCGACGACGTGCCAACCTTTGGTTTGTTCATTCCTCGCTCCTTCATTCAACCCAATTACATCATCCATCAGGACGGTCAGAGGTTTTCCACACTGTGATGATGACTGCCATGGGTTTAAACAGACACTTAAAATTCATGGAGTCCAGGGGATAGCTGAATGCATAATAGTCATGCTGCTCAGAAGCTAATTGATCACAATATCCATGCATGTTTTTGCATGAAATGGAGCTCATAATGCAGCAGGAAGCTAATGGAGCAGACAGGAGGCAGATCAATGGCTATGCATGGTAACTTCGCATCAGCTCAGCAATGCTAACAGTGTTTTACTGTAGATTTTGCAGCACCGAGGAAGCACTTCTGCAGCATACAGAGGGACAGAAATCTAGTAAACACACTTTAAACAGGCTTTCTATAAAATAGCCTGTCACCGAGAAAGAACAGCAACATAATGAAATGATTTTACAATTTGTCTTGGCACCTCTGACTGAAACCCTCTACCTGACAAGCACCAGCTGTCTAACCACGTAGAAACAGAAATGCAATCACTTACTACCATGTGCACCGTCAAGCAAACGTAGCACGCTTTCACTCAAAACGCAGGCAGCTAGCTGCTCGGAGCAATTACATCAGGATGTTCTGAGGCCTGGACCCTGGAGATGCTGTAGCATCAGTTCTGGTATCAAAGGAAAGGTGATTTATAGTTTCCCCTTAGTGGGTAGTAGATAGAAAGATCCAAAAGAAATCTAGTTCAAAAGCCACACAGATGCATGTCAGTGTCACCATGCAACCTTACACCAAACCGCTGGAACAAAGGGAACAAACCAGGATCCTTACCAGTTTGGATGAAGACGCTCTTACGCTGAAGCAAAATCTGTTCCTTAATCCTCACCAATCACAGGATGGGTCTAAAATAAAACAAAACACACATAAATATATCAGGAAGTGTGACAATAAAAAATCTGCTTTTAGGTGACAGGAAGACAAGAGATGGCATAAAGCACCCTGTTGTGCGTCTGACAAATCTGAGGCATAAAACAAGAAGTGACAGAGCTGGAGAGGATGTGTATCTCTAATCCTGCCAAACGTTAAACATAAAACACTTAATGACAAACGCAAGATGATTTCTTGTCTTCCGTGTGAGTGCTTTGTGCCCGTCTTTGAACTCTCCAGGCTCTAATCACAGAAGAACATTTATTTTTCTGCTTCTGGCTCTTCTCTAGCCGAGATGTGCAGATCTCCTAGTGGGGCGACCGATTTCTGCCTCTTATGCAGCAATATGTCACAGAACTGCTGCATGTTCAACTCACTCATTTCTGTGCCTGAACCCCCGTGTCATCTCACTAACATTCTAAAAGAGGGAGTCCAATAATCACCTGGATCGGTCAGTTTTAAACAAGTGAAGAGGGGAAATAGCCACGAGCTACATTTGTTAATTACAGTTAACTCCAGCTCTAGAAATCTAAATACGCCTCCACGATTTCCTTATTTCTCCCATAGTTGAGTCAAATTAAATTAGTCATGTGGGTTTAATTAACAGAATATGATCTGATATTATAATTTCACACTAGGCTACAGAGGAGAAGCATTGGAGCGATGGTCTCTCCTATTTTCTGCCAATTCTAACGACTGAACACAACCGAACTAAAGAGCAGAAAAACAACAACATCATATCAATGAAGGCGTGACAAAGAGTAAAAAAAATTAAAAGTGTGTTTGTACAGATAAAAGTAACCATGGTGCTGCTTTGAGGCTACGAGCAAAAATTACTTCCAATCACGCCTCTTTTCAGTTCAAATTAAATGAAAACACGCTTAAGAGAAATAGTCCAGACAGTAAAATGTTGTAAGCACTTCTCAAAGGAGAGGGGCATCCTTCTGCAGTAAAGCAATACGGCTCACAAAGACTGAAATGCATTAACCGCAGGCCATGCTGCAAGGTTTTGTGTTCAGCTGTGCCTTGTAATTTCCATGCCCATGTGTCTTTATTTGACTGAGTAGTTCTAAGGCACAGTTCCTACTGCTGGCATTATTTCCTATTCATACAAAGGCTCCATCACAGCACTAAATGAGCTGCAGTGGGTGAAGGGGAAAAAAAGCAGCAATTTACTGATCTTCTGTAATGAAACATGAGGCTGGTGAAGCATGTTTTCGCACTCTCACCATGAGGAAATATGGTGGCCTAGAAATATGGCGGCTGGGAAAACGCCGTCACACCGCCTAAAGAGAACGGCAGAATCATCACAGGAAAAACAAACGGAGGCATTGATTCACTAGTTGTTTATTTACAGGCCTCTCTGGAGAAGAAATAAATTCCCCAGTTGAGGATTTTGTCTCTCCACCACACAACACACCAGGATGTACAAGTAGAGGGGTGAGCGGGCCACACACACACACACACACAAACACACACCTAAACGTCTTACATCTGGATTCATCTCCAATGGGCATCATCAAAGATGCCATTAAACGTAGCAGAAGGTGAGAATCATGCAGGAAAAGAAGCCGCCGTCTGAATAATTTATTCTGAAGCTCATCTCGTCTCACACTGGGGGGATTTCTGCTTTCAATTTGCACTGTTTTCCTCCCCATATTCAAATGCAGGCGCTGAATTGTTGTGATTGGCACACGCAAGGTCAACGTTAGCGTGCTAGCATCAGCGCTGTCCTCGGTGGATCGGTACGGTGGTCTATTAGCACGTTAGGGGAGAGTGTATTTGTGGCGGTCTTTGTTTACACGACCGCTGGAGAATAAGCCCTGTGGTGCGCAGAGACATCAGCGTGTCTGAGATTATTAGACTGCTTTCCAAGGACATGGGAGGACCTAGACATTACACTGGCTGGAAAAGAAATAATAAAAAAGACTCTACAGCTAATCATAGCAGGAGGATGTTAGGAATGCAGACGCTAATCGGGGGGTAGGGGAAAGGGGGACAGAAAGGACAAGAGAGAGATGGGAGGATGGAAGAGGTGAGCATGAGGGAGGAGGTGAAATGGTGCAAAATCAAGCCCTGCGTGTCCTTGCTGTGTGTGTCACAATGGGACTGGGAAAAGGACAGAAAACGGTTCACTAAGGCGCAGGTCAACTGTGACAGAACGAGCTGCCATTAGCCAAGCAGAGGGGAAACCTCTCTCTGAGTGACCAACTGTATTTATAGACCTTCTGTTTGAAATCTTCAGCGCCAGAGATTTGTTTTGTTTGTGTTAATGTGGTACGAGTCCTGCAGGGAAAGGATCAGTTCATTCCACGGTACACTCGATTTCAGGGTGCAGCAAAGACACAGAGAACATTTGACATGGGAACGCATTTGTCTACAAACACCGTTAAGAGTCCAAACTTTAAAAAGAATTTAAAAAAAAGGGTTACAGCCCTGCTCGAGTTGGACTAAACTGTGCTTAGCAAGCAAACGACCCTTGTCATTTCAAGTGGTAAACTGTTTTGTGCTAGCTTAGCAGCGATGACAGGACGTGGCTGTTTCTGGCCCTGCAGGCATGAATGGCCCTGTAGTAGCCAGGCACAGTGCAGTGGTTCAACAAGGCCTCTTTAAGCAGCTGAATGACAAGCGAGCAGACCGGCGGTGAGCCAGCCTCAGACATTTAGCTCTGGCTGCCACGATGGAGCCAAAGCAGCTAAACCAGAGTCCACATGTAGAAGTCTGGGAGAGGAGAGCTTAGGCTACTTTTCCATGTATCCCACCCTTCAGATATTACCCACCACTCCTATGGAGCGCTGCTTCTTTGAACATTTCCGCTCTTGTCCTGTTACTGTGGAGATATACAAGTGTGTTGCTGAACTACAGGAGTCCACAGCCCCTAGGCGTTGCGTCAACGCCTCCTTGCACTTTTTGGAAAATCTCCGTGCAAACCTGAAGGGAAACTCAGCACCAGTATGACACAGCCTGCAGGAATGCACCAGCGGATGTGGCTCTCTCCTCAGTCAGCCCTCCTCCCCTTCTCACTGTGGGCAGGTCTACATGAACCCGGTAATTATCGAGGTTATTTTTCTCCAGAGGACCAAATCCCTGTTTATGGGCATGAGCGTGTGTCACCGGGGCTTGGCTGTCAATCCTACGGGATGCTGCTGACTCTTGTGCACAACTCTAGAGAGAAAAAAGAGCCTTTAGAGACAGATTTCTCTTTGCTTTAACATAAAAAATGAAATTTTCCATTTTCAGTGGCTGACCTCGGTCTGATTTGAAATCATGTTTGGTGTGAGCCTCACACTGGTTGTAGGGATTTGCTCAGCATCAGAACCACACAATAAAAGAGCATGAATGAAACTTTTTTATTTGTATCAAGAGTCGTCATTTGTTGCAGCTAAGAGGGCAGATAGTGCACGTTTTTGTTAGGCTGACTGAACACAGACAAGGAGATAATTATTTTCATTCCTTTTGATGATGGCAACAAACAGAAAAAACTGGGAAAAACTACCGGTTAACAAGCGCTGCAAAAAGCACCGACACAATAAGGTGGGTGTTGTACCTGTTAATTAGAGGCAAACAAAGTTTTTGTGAATGGGACACAAAGTAGGCTTGTTCTCGCGGTACAGAAGGTCTGTGAGCAAACAAGAGCCTGGAGCAACCTGAACTGCAAGCTCAAAAGTAAATTTGCATGTAACTAACTGTTAGCTGAGGTCAGTAGTGCACATACACAAACACTCAAAAACTGGCTGCTCTCCTCACAAAAGCCGCTTCCTCTTTTGTTTCATCATGCAGGCCGGGCTTTGTTGGAGTGCGGAAATACCTCCAGAGGGAATGAAAATACTGGCAAGTCCCTGCAGCTCATTTCTGGGGAGAGAGCGAGAGACAGAGAGAGAGCGAGAGAGAGAGAGAGAGAGAAAGAGAGAGAGAGAGAGAGAGAGAGAGAGAGGGAGAGAGAGAGAGAGAGAGAGAGAGAGAGAGAGAGAGAGAGAGAGAGAGAGAGAGAGAGAGAGACGGGTCCTGCAGCTGCAAGATCGCTCAAACACGCAAGCACACACACACACACGCATGCCAAGCTGCCCATGTAGGCTCAGGGCTCCGGTTACGCACAGAGATGCCCGTGTTAACCTAAAGAACATAAACACTGGTGTGTAGTTACAGGGCTGTCGGGGCGCCAGAGGAGCCAACGCTGGCACAACAAAAACTACAGTTGGACCAACGCTATCAAGACTGCCACAAAATCACAGGCAAAGTCACTGAGTTACTGGTAAGAACCAGCCTGAGAGATTTTAGTTTGTAGATTTAGATATTTTTGCCATTATGTAAAAAGGGTCAAGAAAAGTTGAGCTATCTCAGGAACATTAAATCTCATGGCTATCTTAACAGCAGGACCCCATGATTACTGCCCCTCCCTTGTAAAAAAAACAAACAAAAAACAACAACAACAACACAAGTCCAAAAAGAGTTTGCTGTTCCCTGACCTTTACAGTAACCACTCAGCCACCGTGTAGCCCAATCCTGCACAAGGGAGCTTAGATTAGTCAATTTTTATTATTCCATTACCTCACTCCATGGACATCTTGATTGGAGAGAAAAAAACATGTGTTTGCAATCAGACGACAGCTCTCACTGCAGATGACTGCAATCATGTGTTGTAATAGTCAGCACTTAAGGTAAAAAAAATCTAAGGAAGAAATGGCGACCCGTGATTAGAAGGAATCAGAGATTGGTTCATTGTTTTGGTAATGACAGCGCTCGTCCTTTATGCTAATCTCTTGTCTTCACACTGTTGAACCACAGCAGCGGACTACTATTATCCAACAGAAGGGGTCATGGCTTCTCATAAGCCATCATCAGTGGTACTCGCCGTTTCAGTCTGCCATTACACAAACATTAAACATCTCTAATGTACACCGAACACACCGGCCAGGTTTTTCTGTTCTGGACGAATTTCAGACAAACTCTCAAGACGTGCACAGATTTTCAGTTC